AATCTATTTACCAAACCGACCTATACCCAAGTTATATTCTATAGAGGAGCAACGTGTTTTTGGCGTTAGCCCGTTAAAATATGGAATGGAAAAGGAATGGGCGCGTTCGCGTGCGCAGTGATTCGAATACTTGGAAATCTTTTATGAGCGTATCGTCTATTGTACGAGACGATATTGCAATCTCGTTGGCATTAAGAGTGAACGGATTTATGAGAAATTCAACGCAATTTTGTTGCAGTTTTGAGGGATTGAAAAAAATTTCTTTAATCACTTTTGAAATTATCATAATTTATTGCACGTTTCAATTTCAGACTGACTCGAAATATTTTAAAATTAAAAAGAAGTTGACGATTAATTAAGTTCTCTTCAAAATACGTATAAACGAAATAGAAAGTTGAAAGTATTTTAAAATTATTATGTGAATAAAATTTAATGAACTATGTTTAACAATGATATATTTGAGATTAAAATATCATTAGATTTTATTTGATTAAATATTGTATATTGTTCAGATTTATTTTGAAATTTGATCAATATAAAAATTATTTTCTACGATAAATGTTTAGATATTTTAACCATTAATTCCTGTATCAATTAGAAAATAGAAGCTGCATGTATACATGCACTGTAGTAATTGTATAGAAAATAGCTCAACAGTCAAGCTCAAGGGTTGCATTCCTGGAAAGGAAACCCTCTAAGGAAACCCTGGAAATATTGAAACATCCCCAATAACATAAATAAAGCTAACGTAGATGTTGCCACTATCTAAACCCATTTATTGATTAGTTAGTTGGTTAATCGAGACTTGCGATCAATTTTGTCTCTTTGTTCTCCAACGAAATCGCCAACAATGTCTGCGTTTATTTATTAATTCTTTAAAGAGTATTAACGTAACATCTCAATCCTTTTCAATCAATTTATATCATTAAATTCTACTTTTTAATATTGGATATCGAATTCCACTTTTTAATATTAAAGGAAATTCCACGTATTTCTGTAATGCGTTTTCTTTCCATATATCATCCATTTAAATTCTATAACGTCACGTTTGATGCTGGAACTACCGACGACTGAAGTATAAAATTTCCATCAGTCACTAAAGTAAAAAAAAAAAAAGACAGAAAAATTGTATAACACAACGGAGCACACAAACTTTTATATTAAAGCTACTAACGTCTGTTAAAGCTTATAGATCAAAACTTAATTTAAATCTCAAAATTTTATATTCCATTTTATATTTATAACATTTCTAAAAAAAAAAAAAAAATTACAAATTAGTCATTTCGATCACTTTGGTAGGTCCAGTGTTAAAGAAATCAAAGTATTTCTAACGCTATTATAAAGTATTACTCGATCCTTGATGGTTTAATATTTATTTTCTTCTTGCATATTTAAAGCGAAACTTAAAGAAATCGAAGTATTTTTCATAATACCGTGTCAAATCATTGTCCACGATGGATTAGTTAAGACGTTTGTCTTCATTCCTCAGAGACATCACTAACAATCACCGCGTTCACGTTAGAATAAAAGAAAATGACCAGGCTACTTCTAGAAGATTTTCATATTATTCTAGGGACGAGAGGATCTCGTTTGTACACCGACTTATTTCTTCTCTTTCTTTTTATCGTTACCCCGTGGTCCTGTGGATTTTATTTGCATGAAAAACAGCAGCGACAAAAGAACGCGGCGTTTCGGACAAACAAAACGAAGAGAATTTGGTTATCTTGACGAACTGTGCCCGCTGGAATAATAAGAGAATGTGAACCAGATGGCCTCTGTATAAGCCCGGACAGCCGTTTGCATTTTCAGCGACGTAGCTTCCCGTTATTAAACCATGCGGAGGAATCCTAGCGGAATTTTATGAAGATTTTGAAATGAGGTGATATACTTGGCTCGCTGCGGCAGATGTCAGATTTAGTACTAATTCAAGAGCTCTCAACTTTCGTGCAACTTCGATTGCCCGTGCAATCGATGGAAAGAGCGATGGAGAACAGATAGCAGGCGAGTTTGGGATATTAAATTTAGGATGGACTCTTTCTTTTTTTAGTCGAGGGACAATTTTTCACGTGAAACGTTGTGTCTGTGAAGATAACAAGTTTAGTACGAATTTGGGACAGGTTAAGTTTACCAACTCGAGGAGTGATCAAGAACAGACGGGAGTGAAAATTCGAGATATGATTGGATTTGGAAGTTTTCTTAAATGAGAAATGAAATATGTGTTATATCTCTGATACAGATTGTAATATCGTTTGAAGGATTGTTAATTTTTGTTGTGCTCTGATAGTTCGACTAATTATTAATATTTCATATCAAAGATGACCAAGAAGGAGAACAACAGGAGAAACAAATGGGAATCCTATTTACTTATAGAATATTAAATTTAATAGAATTTCTTAAGGCGAGATACCTTTTTCCCGCAATTATATAACATAGACAATGAAAAAGCAGATAATAATCAAACTTGAAACAGGCACAGTCGTAATTAGAACATTAAATTTAGATTTTCTCGTTCCGTTGAAATGGGTTAAAATACTAGATTCATGTAGTATTCAAACATTTTTCTCCATCAACAGAAAAGACAATGAAGAAACATATAATTATGAAACTCGGAAAAACTTCAAAAGGCAGCAGCAATCTCCTCTCTGGTAAATTTCACAATATTTCCCCCTTTTATTACGTTCCGCCCGTGTACGAATATAAAAATGTGGACAGAATTCCACGGAGACCGGATGATACAGCCAGTTTCGAAATTTCGTTTTGTCACGGGAGGTGACGCGACAGTTAACTGATGTCAGGCCAGACACACTAATCTGAATGCAAATCGAGAAAAAGTAGCAAGGTTCACGTGTCGTATAAGCACAAAGGTCGCTGTTCTGCGCTCCCGAAAAAAAGCCGTATCACCGACGAGATTCGATTAACGCGCTAGTTTAACCTCCGCCATAATTCAACGCTCCGAATATTTACCCAAGTGTGGCCACAATCTATCAGATAATAATTTGGAACAACGAACCATCACTGTTATTTTTCAAAACAACATCGGAGAAGCAACGTTCGCCGCACGTTCAAATCAAATCAATCAAGTGGCTTTTTATTTGAGTTGATTCATTGAAATAAAATAACAAACAATCCCGGGACAAGGTGATACTTCAACCGATCAGTATTTAAAGTGTTTCTCAGTGAAACATAACAATAGGAAATACAAAAATATAAGACGAATAAAAATTTATTTCATTTGGTAGCTGAACAACGAGATAATTTTTAAAGAAACATTTTCTTGCTCGAATAAACTACCGTAAAGTTGTTTCAAGGTACAACGTCGAGTCAAATAAAATGATGGTTTGTTTAAACAACCGACTTCCAAATATTTTATTCAAATAATGCCCGGCCCTGTCCTCACCAGCGTACGAGCGTTTGTTGATCGAGCACGCTATTTCCCATGGAGCTTTTCTCCTCGTGTTGTTTTACATCCACGGGTCGACACGTGTTTCGACAGTTTCCATCGTCGGCCTGCTTTTCGCGTCGTTGCTTTACGATCAATAAAGTATAGCCAACGCCGGACACAACGCGGAATTTTCAGCGTTTACCATCGAAAGGTTTCCAATTATTCATAATAACGTTTCGTGATACTTGCTGCCTGGATGAATTTCCTGCTTGTTTCGCTGCGAGAAAGATTCAGTAGAATGCCTCGATTATCGAAATAAAATTAATATCGAACGCGATCGATCATCGGAACTTTCGAGGCTAATGGAAAATTGTGTGAAAGAGAGAGAGCCTGGCAAATTAAAAATAGAAAGCCCGAGGAGTTATTATTTTTGCTTGTTTTAAATTGTTAAAGCTTCTGCTTAAATGTCGAAGAATTATTGAAATTGTCATTCTATATAAATTTTTGTACAATAATAATAATAAAAATCATTTTACCTGTCATCCGATGTTGGGTAATAATATATTAATTTGCGTTTCACGTAAATTCTACAATTTCTAGAATAAAAAAATATTCGGGTGCTATTTTAGTTTATTTTATATAATATTAATGTGATTTCTTTTCATGGTAACTCCGAAGAATTAAATTTAAGAATCCAAATTAACATTTAAAATTATTTGGCCGTTAAATAAGATTATTTTACATTTTCAAATAGAATCTGATTCAATTATATATCACCTCGTGTGATTTATTTGATTGTTCCATATTATTTTTAAAATAACAGTAATAAATCACTACAATCGTTATTTGAAATTGTTATTTTTTATCTCCATTCCAAATAAAATTTACCACCCTCTTTGATTGTAACCATGACAACTCTAATTTTATTCAAAGTCTCCGGTCACTGAATTAAGATCAGTCTTAATTTTCAACGCCTTAGACCTTTTTTCTTTAGTAAAATCACTTGTACGTATAAATACAAACTCTCTCATACACAGTTCTCACAATAAATATTATACGTAAACTTTAATATTAAGACACAATAAACTTAAGTTGCGTTTCTGTTTAATCAATTGATATTACCAAATTCCATTTTTTAAATATGGAACCAAGGATTTCCAGTTTTACAAAATCTGAACAAATTGTAACGAAACTTTTAATGAAATTTCGACACGATTTCGTTACAATTTCTCTACAATTGTCCTGAGAACATACAACACGTTGAGAATTTCCAGCGATCCTAAATAGACGACCAGAGGCCTGCAGATCTCCCCCCCCCCCCACATTTATCTACATTTATCTATAATTCTCGAAAGAATCTCGAAATCCCCCTTTAGAAGCCCCGCAACACCTCCTGCATACAATCGTCACCATCGACTCGGCGCGTCCATTTAACCGAGCAAACAGACACGTAGCCGTCGGATAAAAATCAATCCCTCGCGTCGTATGTGCCGCGAATATCGAAGAGCCGTGGTGCAATAACAGATCGCGCAAACATCCTTAGAACACAGACGCAAATATTCGGTAGTCGACACATTCGTGGCACAGCTTCGAATCTCTCTCTCTCTTTCTTTCCTACCTGTATAACTCTCGATTTGTTGAGGATCGTATTCCCGGACGGTTGGTATCGCTCCATGTCCCTCAGGATGCCCCGCACGCCGACATCCTCCGCGTCCACCAGACGGAAGGCAGTGATATTGACGAAATTGTACTTGAAGTCCTCGAGGTCGAAGGTCTCGATATCCTGGAACAGATCGGCTCGGTTATCGACTCGCGTGGGTGAAGATCCGTCTGGCTGTCCCCCTCCTCTTCTATCGATGAGAGTACTTACGAAAGTTGTGAAGAGATAGTGGTACTTGTAGTCGTTCATTTGCAGCTGCAGGATCTGAAAGCAAACGCGTGCAACGATTGATCGTAGTCATCAGTGAGGTATGTACGTATATCGCTTGTCGCTCATCGAACGATTTTAAATTGGTATTAACTTTCGTACAGACGGCCGCGGTTACTGTAATTTGAAGTCGGACGTTTTAATATTAATCCTTCAGTGGCGACGACTTTTCCGGTCATTTTGATAAAATGAAATTTGAGTTATTTAGATTTCGATATCGAATAGGTTCAATTTCTGTAACTTTAGATGATCGCGTGCTGATTTCGTTTACATGTTAATTGTCGAATTTGGTTGATAATTTTATACGTAACTATGAAACTTTGGCGTTCGACTAACTTCTGGTAGAGGGTTGTGCAGGAATCAGTTGTTTTCGAGGGTTAAATTTATATAGTTTCTAATGGGATCTAACGATTAGATTAAAAGTTGGTTCCCACTTAAAAGTTAACCAATTGATTGTTAATTTTATACATTTACAGGAAACTTCAAAGTGCAAAATTGGGTACGATTCACGAAAAAAAGATGAGATCATTGAATATTTAATTATTCCTCGTTACTTCTCAAAGATATTTTACGAGGCCTAACGTTGACAATAGTAAGCGAAGGGGTTAAGAGAACTTAACATTTCATTTTATATAATGAAATGTTCTCCGTTGAATTTCAAATGATCAAACAAGACAATTTAAGAGAATCAACGTAACTAAATAGAAAACTGTCTCATCTTAGAGTCATCCGTGACATATTACGACAAATATACATTCGATCTCAATTATTTCCTATTTTAGAATCGTACATTTTACACATTATACACATTCTGTTCGATTATTCACACTTTTCAATTTCCCTCCAAAAAAATTCATCGTCTACACACTTTGCGTTTTAATTTTTCAAAGACGGTCGTGGCTCTCGAGGCAGCGAAGGTTTGCGTTACACGATTTAAATATCAAAAGAAAAGGAAGAGAGATCGGGAGAGGAGGCGAGAGCAAACGCGCCAGCGGCGGTTCGAATGGCTGGGAGATATTTACATCGAAGACGCGTCGGGATTATCGAAGCCACCGGCACGGGAAATCGATACAGGAATATGTATTTACCATTCGTAGAAAATGATGCATATGCTCCGGCCTGGTATCCACGATCAGATTTCGTATTTCCTTGCTTTTCATCTCGGATAGAACCTGCCTGTAGGAATCCGGGTCGGCCTGCCTGAGGTTAACCTCGATCTCCCGAGACTTCGGCGACCTTACGAGCTCTCGTAGCTTCACCAGTCCTGAAACACCCGATTAAGTTGGAGCGCGTTACATCGATTAGAATCAACTCGAGATTATTCACGTTTCTTTTAATTGTAGCGAGGAGCGTAACTGACCAATTGGAAAATTCAAACTGATATTTAATTCTTTGGTATTTCAGGTATTTATATCTATGTGAAGAAAGACAGCGGTGTTGATATTTTAAATTAAGAAATTTAATGTACGGATGTATGTAGCTAAGAATCATGCTTCACCAGCGTAAAAAATGAATTAAAGATTTTCCAATTTTCTAATGACGAGTGAACTGGTCCATCCTTTAGTTAGAATGTTAATTAATATTTTACCTGTGGTTCTTAATTAATATTTCAACCGCAGCTCTCTCAAATTAACCTAGAACCTTCGATTCTTAATTTCCCTTCGATTGAAATAGCTCAGAAGTCGATAATCGTGGCAAGTAGATGTGTGTCAAGAATTCAGGGCAAGTTTTAAATATTTCAGAGGAAAGATTCTTAATCTTTCCACCGATTGAAATAGCTCGACGACGAAAGAACAGTAAAGTCAATAATCGTGATAAAAAAATTTCCGATGTTTCAGGCGAAGGATATTCGCGGAAAGATTTCTAATTTTTCTTCGACGAAAATATTCCGACGAGGGAAAGCCAATAATTATGACAGTAGATACGTACGAAAAATCTGCCGCAGCTTTATATAAGCTGTTATAACCGCAAAGGGTTAACATACAAAATATTAAGATATAATTTATTGTAAAATATTAGAAAAAGTAAGACGCGTTAACTTACTTTCCGACCCTATTATTGTAATCACATTGCATATTTTGTTTCTCCTTTTCTTAACTGTAAAATATTATATTATTTCTCTATGACCATTCGTTCACTGTATTACTCTACTAAATATACATCTTCAAGAATCAACTCATCAAACATATTATCTCATTCATTCCTTCAATTTTTATGCATGACGCGACTGTATATACCATGGTGCATTGACGATGGTTCTGAGAATAATGGATTGTAACGCTTCTACTTTAGCTATGTGACTTTCGGCTGCCATACTCCACAATTCAATGCCGTATGTCCAGATTGGCTTGATGATGGCTTTATACATTAGTAATTTGTTATCTACACTAAGCTCCTTACTGGTAAGCCAGTACATGTTCCTTTCTTTTTATGCGAATTTGATCGAGTTTGGCTCGTATATGGTGCTTCCATATGGTGAGTTTTGAATCTAGGTAGATACCCAAGTAGTTTATTGTCTTAGTTTGGGGAACGGATATGTTGTTTAACACATGTACATATTCCTAAATCAAATATTAAAAATCGGAGACTATTCTTAATGCCATTATTGGTCGATTTTTTTAGTTTCATTGCCCATTATTAACATTTTATTCGCCTGTGGAATAATGTTATATCTACATTGAAAATTATTGAATTAAATGTGAACGATTTCTTATTTCGATAGCTATTCTAGATCAATTTAATTTTTGACAGTAATATAATTATTTTCTACATAAATTAGCATTTAGAATATTTCAACAATAATTATAAGTTAAAAACTAACCGTGTAAACGTAGTTTCACTTTGTAAAAAATATAGAAAATACAATATTTATTGTTGACTTAAATTAATGGAGGCTATGAAACAATAAAACTGTAAAATTACTGATTGTTGAATAGAAAAAGGGTTTTTGAAGGCGTTGACAAAGATTACCACCCTCATGTGCATCACTGATTTTGCCTGAAAGTCGAACAGATAAATCGTCATTATAAGTTGAACCTTCATTGCGTTCACACCGATTAAACTTCCGAAGTGAATTTTTAAATAATATTTCTGAATATTCTACTTGTTTAAACATTATCTAATATATCCAATAATTTACTTGCAACAATAAATTCTCTTCTGTAATGTTTCTAAGTGATAATTAAAATTTTTAACTAATAATTTATAAGAATCTTGAACAATGTATTTAAAAGAAATGACATTGACTTATTGAATGAAATGATTAATTTAAGTGTTTAATCGTAATATTAAAAGTTAAGAAAATTATTAAATCACGTCTGAAATATTGTACAAATAATTTCATTGTTTCAAGTAAATTATTCAAACTGTAAAATAATCCATTTCGATTATATTTTTGTATATTAACAATTTTAACTATTTACTAACAGCAATTGAATCAGTGATTGAATTCCCAAGCATTATTTCATAGTCTTCAATAACTCATTTATAATAATTAAATTATTTTATTTACAATAACAGAAAAGATAGTTACATAATACATATATTTCTTGCTGTCTGAAACAATAAACGAGCGAAAATTTTTATATGTTGCGCTTACATTCTGAAACGACGATCACTACCCAACTCGATTTTTGACCACATAACTTTTCTCTACATAAATAACTATTTAATATACATCAATGCAGTTATAAGTTAGAAATTAATATCATGAAAGTGTAAATTTAGTTTTAGCCAGTTGTAGATTAAAAAATTGATAAATTATTACATTTGACATGGTAACATATTTATGAAAGAGTAACATTGCGCTAGAAATCTAAAAACTATTGATTAGTATAATATAAAAATACCGTTTCGAGAAACTAAGAAAAAATTATCAACAATTCCGGGTCACTGATGATCGGAACATTAGATTAACCTTCAGCGGTACGGAGACTCATTACCAATTGAACTTCCGTTATGTGCACATCGAGCAAAATAGAGGACTGAGTTTTTAAACAATATATCTGAATATTCTATTTGTTTAAACATCATCTAATAATTCAAATAATTTATTTGTAACAATTAAACAATAAATTCACTTCTATAACATTTCTAACTTCTATTTAAAATTTTTAATTAATCATTTGTAGCAATCGCGTCACTAATACATTACTAAGAAATTTTTATTATCTGTATCGCATCTTTAACGACCGAAAGTTCAGATTAATGTCAGTCGAAACCGAGAGAAGAGTTCATTACGAATTGAATTTTTGTCGTGGGCACATCGACCAAATTTTAGATGTTTGAAAAAAATTATCAATTGTTCTGAATCACCGACGACCAAAATATATATTAACCTTGAGCGGAGAATCACTAACAATAAAACTTCTGTCGTGAGCAGATCGATCAAATTTTAGAAGATGGAAAAAAATTGTCAACACCTCCGGGTTACTGACAATCGAAATATTAAATTAACCTTCAGTGGTACGGAGGCTCAGTATCAACTGAACTTTCGTGGTGTGCACATCGACCAAAATATAGGAGTGAGTTTTTAAATAATATTTCTGAATAATCTACTTGTTTAAACGTTATCTAATATTTTAAATAATTTAGTTGTAACAATTAAACAATAAATTCTCTTTTATAAATGTTTAAACATTATCCAACAATTCTAATAATTTGTTTGTAACAAATAAATAATAAATTCCCTTTTACAATTGTTTAAACATTATCTAATATTTATGATAATATATTTGTAACAACAAAATACCTTCTATAATTATTTAAGCATTACTTAATATTTTTAACAATTTATTTGTAACAATTAAACAATAAATTCACTTCTATAACATCTCTAACATCTATTTAAAATTTTTAATTAATCGTTTGTAGCAATCGCGTCACTAATACATTTCTAAGAAATTTTTATTATCTGTATCGCATCTTTAACGACCGAAAGTTCAGATTAATGTCAATCGAAACCGAGAGAAGAACTCATTACGAATTGAATTTTTGTCGTGGGCACATCGACCAAATTTTAGATGTTTGAAAAAAATTATCAATTGTTTTGAATCACCGACGACAAAATTATATATTAACCTTGAGCGGAGAATCATTAACAATAAAATTTCTGTCGTGTGCACATTGACCAAATTTTAGAAGATGGAAAAAAATTGTCAACACTTCCGGGTCACTGACAATCGAAATATTAAATTAACCTTCAGTGA